TATATATATATATATATATATATATATATATATATATATATATATATACACACACACACACACATGGTTTCCCTATTGTTTATTCAATAGATAATAGATAAGGTGCTTCTCTATCCATCTCTTCTTTAGCTTTTATTTAGAATTCTTAGTTCACACATTAAAATAGAACAAAGCCCAACAATTTCCTTTTTCCCCTCCCAGAAAATGACAGGGAAGGTTTATTCAATTAGGATGCATGGTAACAGGTCGCTGCTTCAATGAAGTTGTGGTCAATACTTTCCACCCAGTTAAGCAAATTGTGATGTCTATTTTCTCTTGCTGCTGAAATAATGCATACCTAGCTTTTTACCCTGCATCTTTTGTGGTTATTTTTTAAAATTTTACTCAGAAAAAAAAAATACCCAGAGCAGTATCCAGATTGGGCTCATCTGATAAAATACCAATCTGGAAATACTGACACTTATTTGGGAAATCAATGACTTTTCTAGAAATCAGTCAAAGTGGTAAGCCCATGTCTGCAGACCATAAAGAAACAAAAAATATAAAGAAATGGAGATCCTGAGACCCTCGAAAATATCTTACTCCATCAGTTCTTACTATGTTACTACTCTTCTACAAATCTTGAAGTTCTCCAAGCCTGCTGATACTTTTAAGTGGTGCTGTTTTGGTGGAATATGTAATAGTATAGCATTAAGGTATGTAAATGTTAGCTGTATTTATTCTTGACTGGTTTTATAATTAAACATTTTGGGGAGGACAGGTTTAAAAAACTTGGTATAAAATAATGTGTATAAATTATACCAAAAGGGTTATTGCTCATTTAGTCTACTGTCTATATTGGTGTGCCTTACCTTCGTCACCATAGCAGAAGTCACATCAATGCTTGTTTTATTTGGAAAGGGCACCATTAAAGGATATAAATTTGTCCAAAATCTACCCCACATGTCACCTTTAATAGAATAAAATGGAATTACTTATAAAATCAAAATGCAGTAGTTTCTGAAAGCAAAATATGGCTGGATTTTGTTATATTTATTCCCAAGTACAGCTTCGTTCGCTGAACTCTATTTTCACATTAAAACAAATTGTAGACAATACAGATCATGCCTAAAGAACTAAAATCTTTCTATTTCTAATACTAAAATATTAATCTGGATCATATGCTCATTTAAGAGAAGAACTCTATATGGCATTTATTAACATTTGGTTTGATGATCAGGAAATCAAACAAGTTGACCAAAAGCTGAAGATGTACTCAGACATACTCAGCTAAGGAGCTGAGCTAAACAAAATAAAATATTTTAAATAAAACCAACCACCAACCACCAGGAAACTTCTGGCTAGAAATATGCCATCACAACGTTATATTGGTTTCCCAAAACTGAAAAGTACAGGTAGTCCTTGACTTACAACAGTTTGCTGAGTGACCATGGCAACAGGAGTGAAAAATGTGACTTATGACCATTTTTCATACTTATGACCATTGCAGCATTCCCTTAGTCATATGAACAAAATTCAGACATTTGGCAAGTGACTCATATTTATGACAGTCACAGTGTCCTGGGATCACATGATCATCTTTTGCAACCTTCAAATGAAGTCGATGAGGAAGCCAGATTCACTTAACAACCATGTTACTAACTTAATATCCGCAAGGATTCAATTAACAACTGTTGCAAAAAAGGTCATAAAGTGATGCAAAGTTCACTTAGCAATTTAGCAACTGAAATTTTGGTCTCAATTGTCATCATAAGTGGAGGACGACTTCTATATAAGTGCCTTGGTCCATTCAATAAATGTAGCTATTAAAATGGTGTTTTCATACCAAGTAAATGAGCAGGAATAGCTCCTTCTGGGTTAATGAATTCTGGCCCATAGTGTTTGTACAGATGGCGCCGTACATAAGCATGTAGATGCTTATACAAAGGCATTATCTGAAAAAGAACAACAGAGAGAAAGGCATTTAATTAAGGGAAAATCATGATTGTTTTATTAATAGCTTGTCTTCAGAAGTTGTGGGTGCTTCATCATTGGAAGCTTTCAAGAACACACTAAACAGTCATCAGTCAGAAATGGTAAAGTGTATCCTGTTTGAGCAGGGGCTTGGACTAGATAAGCAGTCACCAACTGGTGATCCGTGGACCACTGGTGGTCCATGAGAAAATTTTGGTGGCTGCAGAAATAATATTTGCATTTTTTATATTGCACTATTTATATTGCACTATTTATATGGTCCTCAAACTGCGCCCCCTGGGTCGTATACATGCAATGAATGTTTTGTGTTACTGCAGAGAGTCTCCCCCTTCGAGGTCTTTTTGAGCGGGTTGGAGGGGGAGAAATTCTGACTTGGGGTCTGCTTCAACCTTCTGGTGTGAGGCTTTGGGAGGGAGGGAATTGCTGCTGGTGGCGAAAAGCCGGAGAGCCTTGTTCCAGTGGGACTGCATCATGGCCTGGAACTGGCTGACCATCTTAGCCCTCTGAGCCTCCAGGCACTGGTAACTGGCCTTGTACTTCCACAGGTCTTCCCTCTGTGTGGAAAGCCTATATTCGTAGTCCTCAGTGAGGTGCTTCTGCTGAGTCTCCTTCTTGGTCAGATCCAATTTGAACTGAGCCAGCTGTTTTGCCAAATCTTTCTCATGGTGGCTGCAACAACTGCTTCCTGTTGGGAGTCTAAGGAACCGGCAGGCAGTCAAGGAGTTGGTGGGAGGGGAGGGGCGAGTAGAGGCTGGCAAGATGCCCCTTGACGTGAGTGACATTGAATTGGCTGTGCCCACCCAGTCACATGACAACCTAGTCACGCTCACCTAGCTGGTCATTAGGCAGCTTATATTAGTGGTTCACGGAATTTAAAATTATGAATTTAGTGGTCCCTGAGGTCCGAAAGGTTGGTAACCCTTGGACTAGATCAGTGTTTTTCAACCTTTTTTGTGCAAAGGCACACTTTTTTCATGAAAAAAATCACGAGGCACACCACCATTAGAAAATGTTAAAAAAATTTAACTCTGTGCCTATATTGACTATATATAAAGTGTTTTTCCCATGGCACACCTTACACTATGTCACGGCACACTAGTGTGCGACGGCACAGTGGTTGAAAATCACTGGACTAGATGACTTACAAGCTCCCTTCCAATTCTGTTATTCTATTCTATTCTATTCTGCTCTGCTCTGCTCTAAAGTAATTCTTCCATTCTGGTAATCTTTAAAAAATATTTTGCTCCTAAATAAATAAAGAGTTTCTTATTAGGAAATATGGTGACTGGATCACAATCTTTCAGTACATGAACTCGACCCTCTTTGAACTAAATTATGCTAGTATTGTTACTCCTATCGGTATCACCAGTTACAAATTCTATTATACTGTTCATAAAGCTATGAGAAATATATATATTTAAAAAAAACCTCTAGTATATCTACAATCTACAAAGATGGTGATAATGGATTTTCCCCCTCAATGGTGAACCCAATGTTAAAATGTCATTTCATGGTAGTCTACGTCTGTCAAGTTGCCTCATTTTCTTATGCCAGTGCATCAGATGTTCTGTTGCTGGCTGGTAAGATGTTATGCAGGATGATTCAATCAAAACCCAATAAATCTAAAATCTAATGTATTATGGACATTGTAAATAAGGACTGCACCAATAGCCAATTGTTACCATTGTGACAATCACGGCAAATTTTATGCTGGTAGGCTGTTTTCAGAGCTCAAGCACTGGTTAATTTATTTATCAATTATTTATTTATTCATCAACTGCAATGCCCATATGAGAAATTGTGTGTATTGCCATAAAATGGTTTTGTCTTTGTGCAGTAAAGCAAAATATTTGAAGCTAAATCTTACTTGCTGAAGTGTGTTTTCCACATCAGTAATCAGCTGTGCACGTTGGTATTGATATTCCTTTGGAAGATCTACTTCATAATTTGCTCTCCAATAATCACCATAGTCAGCATAGCCTGGAAAATCAATGTCTGTCACTCATCATGACATTAAAATATATTTCACAGATTCTTGAGCATTTTTAAGTTAATATTAGCCATGCTAAAATCTTCTGAAGAATAATGGTAATTGGCTTTTGTAGAAACTGTAGCCACACATCTGGAAGGGAAAGGCGAATGTCATAACAAATAATTTACTTTAATTTGGATGCTCCTAAAATCCTCCAGCCACTATGGCCAATGCTGACAATTCTAGGAGTTTAAATCCACACAACTGGAATGCATCCAGGTTGGGCAGATTGAATAGTGATTATTTTACCATCTCATTTTGTAATACTATGGGTAGGGGAGAACAAATATATAGAATCAAGCCTTATTACAACTAATAATTCATAGTTAATGTTATACATCAGATTGACGAATTAAAGAGTAATGGTGGATGGTTAATACCATTATCTTAAATTTCATCATGTACAAATTAAACAAGCTAAAAAAAGAAGAAAGGGAATATTCTGAATCATTGGGATGTTGAATAGACTGCAACTTCTAAAGACAGTTTCAGTAAATTGAATGGCAAACTATCAATTTGTCAGAATAATGAAATGTATAAAACTCTATTCTTTATGTACTTGCATGTAACTTCACCATGCAAATACAAAAATAATATTTACACAAGAGGGACCTAAAGGCCCTGGGAATAGACATTATCAGCTGGGAAAACTTGACCTCTGACCATTCAGCTTGGAGGCTAAAGATGCAGCATGGCATTCTCCAATTCAAAGAGACACTTATTCGGCAGTCTGAGGCAAAGAGACAGTCCTGGAACTAGCAAAATCTGGGGGATGGGCAAGAGACAGAATGTATCTGCCTTCAGTGTGGAAGGGATTGTCATTCACGAACTGGACTTTTTAGCCACACCGAATGCTGCATTAGGACCTCTTTCCAGAGAATGATACCATAGTCTTTTGAGACTGAAGGATGTCAATGAGGACACTCCACACTAGTTATAGTGCTAATGTCACTTTTCAATTTTTTGAAGATTTTTATTAAATTATAAGCTATATAAAAGTCAGCTATGAATTATTAGTGCAAGCAATAATTCCTTTTTCTCCTTTCTCTATTAACATCATGTGGATTGTAAGATATTCATTGACCAATTTCCCCCAAACTGGGTACACTTATGTTGATTATTAAGGCAGAGATTATGCCACTTCAATGAATTAATATTACCAAATCCTTCTCCATCATAACACTGACTGTTGGCAATGAGGGTTGAGGTACAAAATAAATTGAGGGTGCTGGTTTTAAGAAAATTCATAATATTCCACTTTAGCAGCATTTTGCCCAATCAGCCATTTATATTAAAGAAGTAATGCTCATGAAAAAATACCTTTATAAAATAGAAAAGACTCAAAAATAATCATCTTCAAGAGGAGAAAAATATATTCATGCTGGTAATCTTTGGTATTGTAACTTACCCCTCAGTCTTGCATATTTATTTTTCAATTCAACATAACTTTCGTATAAAGGCCTCATCTTCTTGCCAACATCAGCTCTCCAGCCTTCCCAGGCCCACAACCTCTCTGAGTAACTCCAGTTGTTTTCCATTATGTCATCCAAACCTGTCACCATAAAATCAGGTTAATTCCCATTATTTATTTGTTTGTTTGTTTGTTTCCTCATTAACAGCACCAGTCTTATGCTTTGGTGTATGGGTGTCAAACTCGCTGCTTCATGTTACCATCACATGATGTTTCGCTATGTTTTCCCCCTTTGCGGAACTGGGGTGGGTGTAGCCTGTGTGTGACGCATCCAGTCTGTAGGCTGCCAGTTTGACACCCCTGCTTTGGGGTGATATCCAGAAAAGTGAAACAAACCAGAAATAATACAAAAAATCAATTAGAAATACAAAATAGATGTACACAAATAGAGGCACATCTGTGTGTCAATCATTTGTAGCTAAAAGCTCATTAAAAGGGAAGATTTTCCCAATTTTTCTGAATACAAGAAGGGAAGGTGACATTTGACCTACTAGGGCACCATATTTCATAAAACAGGGGCTACTACAGAAAATTCCTACTATCTGACTCTTACGAAGTTTGGATGGAGAAGGGATTCTTAACAGGTCTGCCTGAGAGATCTGAATCAACTGTGCAGGGTTTGGCCAACTTCTTTAGTCCATACAAGCTCAAAAGAATATTAGATCATTTTATAGATCATCTTACCTTGCACATTCTGTGGACTCTATTCAATTGACATCTAATTCATCATTATCTCTCTCTCTCTCTCTCTCTCTCTCTCTCTCTCTCTCTCTCTCTCTCTC